CATGAGGCGATGTCTCACAGTGTGGTCATGCGGCTCGGCCTGGTGCACATGACCTGGCTACTCCTTCAACCTCAGAACACACACACTTTTGCCATAGTGACCCGAGTGCCAGTGGCGCCACGGTCGGATGCTGGCATTCGCCACACATTGCTAGTCACCTGCTCATCTACTCCTCAGCAGTGGTTGGTACCTTTGTCTACTCCATGAGGAAGCGTGTCAGTCTTTCTGGAATTTTTCTCTTCACTCTATTATTTCCCTGAACCTCTTGGATGTTCATGCCTCTTCTACTTACCCATTGTGTCCTGGGCTTCCTTAAGCATCCAAATTTTGGGGGGGGGGATGGGAGTCTATTTTCTCCTTTGAGCATACTAAATTTAGTTATGTTCTCTTTACCAGTAAGTTTGTTTTTCTCTAAGAAGTTTTGTAGTTAGTGAAAGAGGTACACGTATACCAATTACGGATAAACTTTCTCACAGTTATTTAGTGAGCAGAGGAAGTATATATACTTACAGTGTCAACCAATGAGGACCTGAGACAACACACCAGTTTCACAGTGGAAGCTGACTCCCAGCGTCTCTCCTTCACAGAAGGAAGTGGAATTATTTTATTTTTTAGATAGGGTCTTTCTATTATGTTGCTCTGGCTGTCCTGGAACTCACCATGTTCTATGCAGGATGGGAGAGCTACCTGCTTCTGCTTCTCGAGTGCTGGAATTAAAGGCGTGTGCCACCACATCAGACTCACAGCAGTGAGTGGGTAGGCTGCTTTAGTGCCATCCTGATGAAGACGCCAGTGTTCTGAACAGCTGCTCTCTATAGTTCATCAGGCGACATTTGGCTTGTCTGTACACTTGACTAAATTAAGGGAGTGAATTGGTAGGAATTAGGGCAAGTCATGATTTTTGATTTACCATTTCTTCTTGGGAGAAATTTGAATTGGTAGACGAGACTCTGTCCTATTTATTGTAGGCCAGAACGCTGCCAGGAGATTATTCTGAATGAACTAAAGCCAGAAATATTTTCAAGGGAAGAATTGAGCAAGCAAGACGTCACCTTAGACTTGCCAGTGACGAAAGACAGGCTCAGTGCTCCACCTGAGTAGCTGGTCCTTCCTGTTCCTCCCTGGCTGGCGTTCCTTCTGTGGTACTCAGGAGTGAAGGGTCTGTGCCATTTGTCAAGGCAAGAGTCTGGTGGAAATACTGGTCAGAAAGTGATATAGGAACAGATATTAATGATTTTCTAGAGTTAAATCGACAAGTGTTGTCTTGGGAAAGTTGAAGTTTTAGCATAATTTTATCATAGCATATCAAGTAGGACTAAAATAACATTGCAGTAAGTTTTTCCATTAGAGCATACCTGAGATCTTTTCATTTGCAGCCGGTTCTCCAATCTGTGTGTCGGACGAAAGAAATTAGGAACTGTCCCTTTAATAAAACACTGTTTACCTAGCCTCTTCCAGTAGGCGTGGCTTAGGAACCTGTGGAGTGAGGTGTGACTTGAGCTGACATTCCGACCAGCTCCTAGGAAAGAGGGCTGGGGCTCGCAACAGGAAGCTACAGCCGAGGCTTCCCACTGTACTCAGCTTGACTTTTCCATGGCAAAGAGCCTCCTAACAGGATAGAAAATTGAAGGAGCGATTTTGCTTAGCTGTTATCAAATTTTTGAAGCTCCACCGTGGATAAAGATTTCACAGAATACTTAGAACACAAAGCTTTCTGGGCCAGAAATTGATCTGCTGACTTTGAGTCCTATCCGATTACTGCCTGGTTCATCTTTATTTTGCTCAAGTATCTGCAGGCTGAGCCCGGAGCCGATCCTTTGCAGGTACGTGGTCAGCTTGCGTGTAACATTTAGATCATATTTTTTTCCCTCAAGGTCCAGCTGCTAAACACTGAAAAAGTTGAGACTCTGAGACTGGGCATGTTTGAACAGTGTGATTGTCAATAGCAACGCTTCCGTGACAGCTGGACAACCTTGCGAAAACAGACCTTTTTAACAAACCAGCGAATTACAACACCATGAATTGAATGAATCTTGTTTTGTTTTCCATTAACCAAGTATGTATTTACATACATACATAATGGATCTAAATGTATGTCGAAATTATCTTGCTAATTAACTCAAATAGCATTTTGTTCTGGGCATTTTACTTGCAAGTTGCATTTCTTTGACAATGTTCACCATCGATTTGTTGTTTGCTTTAGTTTTTATCTTTAGAAATGTCTGTTATTTCAAAAAGTTTTGTGACAGGTTAATAATCGAACAGAGGTGGCTGTCTTCTTTTGGTGATGCTAACCACCCTTTTGTGATGCTGTTTCAAAGATGGAGTCTTTGGAAGACTTAGTTAATTCAAAATATGAATTATTACTATGAAGACAGAGTCCACCCATGAATCTCTGGGGTAGAAGTCAAGTTCCTTTAGGACCAAGGACAGTAGTTCCTTAACTGTCACTTATGGGCCTTTGTCGTTTTTTGACCCTGGATATTCTGCTTCAGACGACTCCATCCGGTAAAGAGATAGTTCTAGTAAATAGTAAACATTACAAATGTTCTATTTTCTGGATGTGTCATTTCGGTTAGAATTTGCCAAACTGAGATTCCCGCTCTGTGTTGATGTGATTGGCTCCAAACAAAGAGGCTCCTCTTTTGGTTGTTGTTGTTTCTTAGCTTGACTCCTTGACTGTAGGGTGAGTATTTCTTGACATTTTGAAATGTGGATGATGACATCTGAATTGCTATAAAGTGTTCTCGTGGCCGGCTGGTCACCTGGGCTTGGCAGACAACAGTTGAAAGCACAGTTTTCATTTTAAGAGCCCCGCTCCATGAAATGTAATGAAGCTCATCCAGTGAAATGAGGACGTGGGGGTGGGGGGAAGGGCCGGGAAGAGGGGAAGGAAGTGGTGTTGGCTATAGGGACTCTCAGGGCTGCATTCAGAGCATTTATACATTTGACCCCGTTAAATACTTTTATAGTCTGCCTCCTAGCTTTAAAATGTTTCTCCAATCAGCTGACAGAGGATTTTCTGGCTTTCTAACAGACCTTACTCCCCATCTTTTCTCAGTTCTCCTTCCCCACATCCATCTTTCCTTCATCTTACCCAGAAGCCCCCTCTCCACTGTGGAGCGTCATCTGGCCACCCTGAGCCTCAGTAATATTTTCTTCCTTTTCTTTTCCCTGTCCCATTGAGTCTACTAGTCCATTAGCACATGAATATATGTGTCTTATTTAATAGTGCGCTATATCACTTCAAATATATTAGAAGTATTTGCTTTGGAGACTTTTTATGCCCTTAGAATCTAGTATCGTAGCGCACATTTCTCTCCCCATAAATAGCTGTGGAATGGATGAAAGATCTTGTTGACAGTTGCTTCAAGTAGCATGCTGGCTTTCTCTTGTCTTGCTTAATCATATAATTAAATGTAATACTTCTAGAATCCAGTCTGTTAGTTACTAGAATATGATATTTTTTGTTTTGCTATACAGCTTAGAGCTTTTTAGACTTGGTGACTAAGTTTTGTTTTGTTTTGTTTTTTTCTTGAGGCAGAGTTTCTCTGTGTAGATCCAGATGTCCTAGAACTTACTCTGTAGACCAGGCTGGCCTCAAACTCACAGAGATCACCTGCCTCTGCTGGGATTAAAGGCATATGCCACCACCGCCTGGCATGATCAAGAATTTTTTTTTAGTGAGTGTGGGGGGGTTGGGGGAGGATGTCCATGGAGTCCAGAAGGGACTAGAATTACAGGTGTTTGTGAGCTGTCTAATGGAGCGAGGGTCTGAACTTTGGCCCTGTGACAGAGCGATCAGCACTCTGATCCACATGGCTGTCTTTGCTGTATTTGGTGATGTTAACTCTGAGGTGCCATCTCTATGCAAGATGGACTTTATTAAAAGTAAATAGTACTCTGAAGATGGATTTCTTGCATTTTCTATTTTGGGGAAATAAAATTTAGAGCTCACTGGTGTATAGAGTTCTAAAAATGCTTAAAATATGCAGATACAATGGTGAGTTAGAGTTGATTCTGGGTTGACATCTAGAACTCTATGTGGTGATCGTAGGTTGTGTGGATTTTAGATAAGTAATTGCCAGAAGTGATAAATAGCTTAACTTTTCTAAAAGGACACTTTAAGCATTTTAGTTCACATGTCCAGTAACTACTCTATTTCCCCACCATTTTTTAAGTGGCATGTGCCTTTTAGTTCTGACTGCTTTGGAGAATAGCTTGAGCCCAAGATGAGCCTGACAACAGGCTAAACCCCATCTCAGGGGGAACGTTGTTTATATCTGTGTATCCATTTCTTGGATCAACTCTTTACTTTCTAAATTTTGTCTGCATGTAGGCCTGTGCACCACTTGTCTGCCTGAGATGACCAGAAGATTCCCTGGAACTGGGGTTGTAGATGGTTGTGAGCCACCACATGGGGGCTGGGAGTCAAACCCAGGTCTTCTAGAGAGCAACCAGTGCCCTTATCCATGGAGCCCTCTCTCCAGCTTTCCTCTAGCAACTCTTAGCAGATGGGCAGAATTAACTTCTCTTTCTTTTTCTTTTCTTTTCTTTTCTTTCTTTCTTTTTTTGTTTGTTTTTGGTTTTTTTGTTTTGTTTTTTTTGTTTTGTTTTTAAGACAAACAGCCCTGGCTACCCTGGAACTAGCTCTTGTAGACCAGGCTGGCCTTGAACTCACAGAGATCTGCCTGTCTCTGCCTCCCTGAGTGCTGGGATTAAAGGTGTGCAACCCCACTGCAATTAACTTTTCTTTTGCAGCACTGGGGATTGAGCTCAGAGCCTTGTGGACGCTACTCAGCTCTGTATCACGAAGCTATGTGCCTAACCCTCATTAACCTATTTGTAAAGAAAACAGACAATATGGGGACAAATAGATCAAAAATTTACCGCAGCCACACTTTGTTCATGCCATCCTTACTTTGACCTTTGTGCTTTAAATTACTATTATGTTATCTGTTGTATTTTCCAATACCCATGCAATGTTTCTCTTATCTTAGAGCCTGACCAGACAGGAGTTCTGGCAACTGCTCCAGCAGAACTATGGCACGGAACTGGGCTTAAATGCTGAAGAAATGGAAAACTTGTCATTATCAATAGAAGAAAATGTGCAGCCAAGGTACAGTGAGGTGACTTAAAATGTCAAGGTGCATTATGAACCCTTAAAATGGAATTATTTTAGGTTCTTCTACTTCTGAGTTTCTATTAATTTATCACTTGGTGTAGTGTGCCTTGTTGGCAGAGTAAGGTTTTAGTTGGGAGAGAGGAGAATCATTGATTATATTGGTAAGCAAAAGTGGACACAAAGGCATTTTGATGCTATGATTCTTAGGATTGACTTAATTTTAGAAATTTTAGAAATCTTTTTTATTAAGGATCTGGAGTAGGAGCTGGTGAGGTCTTGGAGCTTCCAGGAGACACTAGGGCAGTGTAAGGGTTCCGTGACTTCTCCTTGAGGACTCGCTAGCACAGTGACATGTGCTTGACACTCAGTAAACATTGACCACATTAGTGGAAGGAGCCGATGGTGCCGTGGAGACAGAGCAGTGGTAATGCAGGGGCCCTGTGGTGCTACAGTGTGAGAAAGAAATTAGTAAGGAAAAATCATTTTGACATATATTTATTAAGAAGTGTGAACATTTTATAAACTGTACAAATAAAAACGTGCCGTATCCAATGTTGAGACCATAGCAAAAAGATAAAAAATAAAAAAGAAAAGAAAAACCCAAGGGTAATATATTAAAATTTCATAGCAAACATTCTGCTTAGCGAGAGAAGCCAAGACCGAAAGACCAGCTCTTGATGTTTTGGTTCTGAGTCTAGCTGTTAATGACCGAGCCATGTCTCTAGCCCTCCACATCTGGTAATGTAGAAGTGTTGAAAGTCTTAATACATGCACCAATGCTTCCCCTCCCTGGGCAGTCTTCTGTTCTGCTGCTCAAACCTGTACTGTCTCAACTTACATCAATATTTTATCATCTGTTTTCACATGATTGCACATGCATATTTTATTACTTTTCCATAAAGTTCATTTTTTCCCCATTGCACTGATGTCATCATAAAGTTTACTAGTCTTGGGTATCAAAACTGTGTCAAAAATCAGCTTACTAATGCAGAGACTTTGGATTGTAGTCAATAGGATCTGGATTGTGGTTTGTAGCTGAGATAGCTCAGGCAGATCTTTGGGCATTTCTGATGCTCAGTTTAATCATCTATCAGTTAGATTCAGTGGTTTTTCAGTCTCTGTCAACTTGTGAACTTTGTAGTCTCTGAATCAGGAAAGAATAAGAATTTTGAGCAAGTATTTCATACACATTTGAGGTCATCAGTAAAGCTATATTCTCTTCTCCTGGTTACTGTTTTCTAAGAAAACATGTAGCAGGATCCTCATGCCCAATTCCTTCTTGCTCGCTCTTCTTCTGAAAGCAGCAAGTCTGTTTCAAGCCTTTATTTCCTCAGCTCTCCATATTCTTTTTTTAAGTCTCATTATTTTTTTCCCCTCTGTTCCTTTCCTTTCTCTTTTCTTACTTTCATCCTCCTTAGATTTTTGAGATCTCTATACTCACACGAAGGGCTATTTCAAGGATCTATATTTTTTTCTCTCAGACCCCAATGGTGTCCCCCCGATTCTGCCTATCCATGAGTGAGCTGGCAGCAGGTCTACTAACCATTGTTTGGGCAGAATTAAATAAGGCTTGTACTGGATAGTTTTATGTAAACTTGACACAAGCTAAAGTTATCTGAGAAGAGGTATCTTAGTTAGGGTTTCTATTGCTGTGAAGAGACACCATGACGACAACAACTTTTATAAAGGAAAACATCTAATTAGGATTAGCTTGCAGTCTCAGAGATTTAGTCCATTATCATCATGGTGGGGAGCATGGCATCACGCAGGCAGATGTGGTGCTGGAGCAGCTGAGAGTGCTACATTTATAGGCAACAGGAAGTTGACTGATTGTCACACTGAGGGAAACTTGAGCAAAAGAGACCGCAAAGCCTGCCCCCATAGTGACACACTTCTTCCAAGGCCACACCTCCTAATAATGTTACTCCCTTTGGGAATCATTTTTTTTTTATGCCATCACATTCCACTTCCTGGCCCCTGAAAACTTAGAGCCCTCTTGTCAATGCAAACATGTATTCAGTTCAACTTCAAAATTCCCCGTAGTCTATAACAGTCTCAAACTTGTTTCAAGTTCAAAGTCCAAAGTCTTTTCTGAGCTGCATGGCAACCTTTTAACTGTAATCTCCTGTAAAATAAAATTAAAAAAAAACAGATCACATACTTCCAACATGTAATGACACAGGATATATATTACCATTCCAAAATGTAGGGAAAGGAGCATAGTGAGGAAATGCTGGACCAAAGCAAAACCAAAAACCAGCCCGACAAACTCCAAACTGCATCTTCATGTCTGATGGCAAAACACTCTTCAGATCCCCAACTCTGTTTAACTTTGTTGACTGTAACACACTTCTTTCTCTTGGGCTGGTTCCACTCCCTGCTAACAGCTATTCTCACCAGGTATCCCAAACCTCTGGTATCCCTAACATATTGAGTTCTCTAAGGCAATCCAGACTTCAACTTCAGACTTCACACAATGGCCTCTGTAGGCCTCCATTCAGAGACACCCCTGACACATGCCTGGCCTCAGCATCTTTACTTAATGCAAGGGCAAATTCCATAGTTCATTTCTTCTATCCTTAATTTCACAGCCAGAACAACTTGCCAAAGCTGCCAAGTTCTACTGCTTACTGGGGCTGGAGCATGGCCCTATGTTAAATTATATCTTCACTAGTTTTTTGTCCTTTTCTGCCTAAGCTTGGCTGTCCTGAAACTTGCTCTCTAGACCAGGCTGGCTTCAAACTCAGAGATCTGCCTATTTCTGCCTTCTCAGTGCTGGGATTAAAGGTGTGTCCCCCAATACCCAGCTTTAAACTTTTCTTGCATTCTTTTTTACAAAGTTGGAAATTTTAGGTGGGTGGGATCTTGCCCTGAGGTCACCACTGCCTTTATTCCATTTCTTAATCCATTTATCTCTTTGAACACAGAATTTAGGTCTATTATACCTCCTGGTGCTCTTTTTCTCCTCAAAATTTTAATTACAAATCTTTATTAGAATTAACACTAGTAACCACAAAACAGAATCTATACTCTTCCTTTCCCAATGGAATTAATTCAAAATTCTTTACTTTAGCCTCAGGCAGAATCTTTGGACAAGGGCAAAAGCAACCACTTTCTTCACCAAAATATCACAAGAATGATCTCGAGGCAACATACTAAAATTCTTCTCCTCTGAAATCTCTTGAGTGAGCCCTTCATTGTTTAAACTACTCTGAAAACTACTGTCTTTCATGTTCCTACTAGTATAGCCCATTAGGTAGTGCTTAAAGCATTCCACTGCTTAATGCTGTGGAATAATCCTTCTGTCCATTGTGAATATCTGTTACTCTTGTTGATTGATAAAGAACTGATGGCCTGGTAGTCAAGCAGGAAGTATAGGCAGGACAGCCAAACAGAATGCTGGGAGGAGAAAGGGTGGAGTGTGAAGTCACCAGGAGACACAGGGGAAGCAAGACATACTAGAAGACAGGTAAAGCCACGATCCATGTGATAGCACATTTACTAATAGAAATGGGTTAATTTAAGTTGTAAGAGCTAGTTAGTAATATGTCTGAGCTATTGACTGATAATTTGTAATTAACATAAGCCTCTGTGTTGTTACTTGGAATTGGCAGCTGGGAAAGAAAATTCAACCTACACCAAAGTACAAGGTCCTCCAAACAAATACATGGTCAGGCCTATCACAGCAGTACCCCAGTCAAACTGGTACTAACTTCTGTCTTAGGGATTTTATTGCTGTGAAGAGACACTATGACCACAACATCTCTTATTAAAAAAATAAATAAATAAAATAAAACAACAACAAAAACCATTTAATTGGGGTAACTTGCTTACAGTTTCAGAAGTTCAGTCCATTTTCATCATGACAGGAAGCATGGCAGCGTCAGGCAGATGTGGTGCCAGGGCAGCTGAGAGTCCTGCATCTTATGGAAGCAAGAAGTCGACTGTCACACTGAGGGAAACTTGAGCAAAGAGACCTCAAAGCCTGCCCCCACAGTGACACACTTCCTCCAACAAGGCCCCTACTCCTAAAAGTGCCACTTCCTTTGGGGACCATTTTCTTTCAAACCACCACAGCAGGGAACCTCAATTAAGAAAATGGTTCCATAAGATAGTGCTGTATTAAGCATATAGGGTGTTTTCTTAATAGTGATTGATGAAGGAGGGCCCAGTGACATTGTGACTGGTACCATCCATAGAATGGTGGTAGTGGGTTCTAGAAGAAAGCAGTGTGAACCATATGAAGCCATGTGGAGCAAGCAGCACCCCTCCATGGCCTCTGCATCAGCTCCTGTCTCCAGGTTCCTGCCCTTTTTCTGAGTTCCTGTTTTGGCTTCCTTCAGTGATAAACTACAATGTAGAAGTGTAGGCCTAATAAACCCTTGCCAAATTGCTGTGGTCATAAAGTTTCATCACAACAATAAAAATCCTAACTAGGACAGAATGTCATACCTTTCCGTTTTTTAAATTTAACTCTTGGGATGACATTGCGTCAAACTGATACTTTTACTTAACTCTTTGTGTGTACATAATAATTATTACATGGGAATGGTGTTTTATGGTAGATTACAGGAAGTTAGATTCATTATGTTCCTTATTTACACTAGCTGACCGTAAAAGAAATGAAAGCAGCTCTTAGAACATTTGCTGTGGTCTTGGCTCTACAACCCTTGGGAAACTGCATTTTACAACTTATTCCTGGGGTTAGGTAGCCTTGTCTGTAGCAATGGGTGTATTCAGCAGCCAGTAGCCTGAGGAGCACCCCGTAGTAGCCTTAGGGATCTCAACTCAGGTCAAACTGGATCCTCACCACAGAAAAGAATTTTTGGACAAACTGGAGTAAAACAAGTTTATTAAGTAGATAAGGTGATAGGAACTAGTACTTTCTTAGATTTAAGCATGGGAGTGGGGGATGGGCAGAAAGAGACCCACCTTTTAGGAGAAAAGAACACATCTGAAACATAGGTGTGGGCTTCTCAAGACAGCCATGCTTAGTGCATATGTGTGTTCACGGTGCTGCCGCTTTAAAGTTACAATGTTTAAAGGGTATAATTCATTACAAAGCTTAAACATGAACAAAGTTTAAAAGTGAAGTTTTTGAGATAAGTGAGAATATATGAGCTGGCTTCCTTACTTCGCTTAATTTTCTTTTGAAATAGTATAGTGTGACTTTATGTGTGTATTGTTTAGATTTGGGAATGAGAGGAATGTCAGCCCAGTTAACCTCGGGCCATAAACATTCTCATCCTCTCTACCACGGATGGTTTGTTTGAGCATCCTTGTTTGAGATGTCTTTAGGAGAACTATACTGTCTTTGCAGGGAATTTTTTGTCTATTTTTTGAGACAGAATTTATGCAGCCCTGGCTTTCCTGGAACTCAGTAGTTCTATTTACCAGACTGACCCTAAATTCACAAAGATACTTCTTCCTCTGCCTCCTGAGTGCTGGAATTACAGGTGTGTGCCACCACACTTGGCTCTTTGCCAGCAGGTTTTTTTTTAAATATTTATTGAGCTCTACATTTTTCTCTGCTCCCCTCCCTGACTCTCCCCTCCCCTTTCAACCCTCTCCCAAGGTCCCCACGCTCCCAATTTACTCAGGAGATCTTGTCTTTTTCTACTTTCTACTTCCCATGTAGATTACATCTGTGTAAGTCTCTCTTAGTGTTCTCATTGTTGTCTAAGTTCTCTGGGATTGTGGTTTGTAGGCTGGTTTTCTTTACTTTATGTTTAAAAACCACCTATGAGTGAGTACATGTGATAATTGTCTTTCTGTGTCTGGGTTACCTCACTCAAAATAATGTTTTCTAGCTCCATTCATTTTCCTGCAAAATTCAAGATGTTATTTTTTTCTGCTGTGTAGAAATTCATTGTGTAAATGTACCACATTTTCCTTATTCATCCTTCAGTCGAGGGTCATTTAGGTTTTTTCCAGGTTCTGGCTATGACAAACAAAGCTGCTATGAACATAGTTGAGCACATGTCCTTGTGGCACGATTGAGCATTCTTTGGACATATACCCAAAAGTGGTATTTCTGGGTCTTGAGGAAGGTTGTTTCCTAATTTTCTGAGAAATCGCCACACTGATATCCAAAGGAATTGTACCAGCTTGCATTCCTACCTGCAATGCAGAAGTGTTCCATTTTCCCCACAACCTCTCCAGCATAAATTGTCATCAGTGTTTTTGATCTTGGCCATTCTTACAGGTTTAATATGGAATCTCAGAGTTGTTTTGATTTGCATTTCTCTGATGACTAAGGACGTTGAACATTTCTTTAAGTGTCTTTCAGTCATTTTAGATCCCTCTGTTGAGAGTTTTCTGTTTAGGTGTGTACTCCATTTTTTTTTTATTGGATTGTGTGTTCTTTTGGTGCCCAATTTCTTGAGTTCTTTGTATATTTTGGAGATCAGAACTCTATCTGATGTGGGGTTGGTGAAGATCTTTTCCCATTCTGTAGGTTGTCATTCTATGTTGTTGACCGTGTCCTTTGTTTTACAGAAGCTTTTCAGTTTCAGGAGGTCCCATTTATTAATTGTTTCTCTCAGTGTCTGTGCTGCTGGGGTTATATTTAGGAAGTGGTCTCCTGTGCCAATGCTTCAAGTGTACTTCCCACTTTCTCTTCTATTGTGGCTGGCTTTATGTTGAGGTCTTTGATCCATTTTGACTTGATTTGCCAGCAACTTTGATTTTGTCATTTGTATTGAAGTTTCTTGACTCTCAGCTATGAGGAAATGCATACTAGATCTCAGAGGGAGGGACTTATTTCCCTTCCCACTTTCTTTCACTTTTTTCCCATGACTGACAGGCATTCTATTCAGATGTGAGGTGCTTCTGCCTCCTAGAGGGCCTGGCTACCTCCACAGAAACAAGACTTGTAAGACTGACTTCGGGTACCAAAGCCGTCTTTTTTCCTATGCCTTTGAAGCTCTGGTTTTACAACTTGACCTTAAACAAGTACATGCTACTGACCAGCTACTGCTGGGGCTACTTGTACTTCATTATACTTTTAGTGGTTTCTGAGATATATAGATTTACATAGGAGCATATGTTTTATTTTCAAGAATAAAGTCAACCGGTGTCTCTAAGAGGATCACTTGTCATAATTGGAGCTGGTTACAGCATAACAACCTATTCTTTGTTGAGTTGATTTAGGCCAGCCAAGACCTCAGAGAGAAGCACCAAGGCCTGTGTTCCTGGACATGACCTTCTGCTTCTGTAATGCTGTGTTTCCTACAGAAGTCCAGGAAGAAGCAGTGTGGAAGACTCTGGGGAAAGGGATGAAAAGTCCTCCAAGGCCATCAGCTTTCCACAGGAGTCAGTTAGCCGCGTCTCAGAGACTGAGTCCCTGGATGGAAACTCACCGAAAAGGGTCAGTATATGCTGTTCCCAAAAAACTACACCTGAGACTGATATGTGGTAATCATAACAGGAGAGCCAGCAAAACATGCAATGCATTCAAAGTGTTGGGAAGCTTGGGATGTCCAGCTGCAGCTCTACATTAGGAAGAGTGTACGCTTCTAAGAAGCAGAGGCTATGTGGGGAAAGTATGTGGTGTTCTTCAAAGACGGCTAAGGTGCAGAGCAGCTAGCAGGTCCCTTCCAACATAGAGTAAGACAGTAGTACTGTTAAAAACATAACTAGACACAGCAATCTGTAGCCAGCAGAACTTCCCCACTGTGAAGGAATGCACGTGGTGGAGAAAGTCCGGTTCGGATGGGGAGAGATGGACCTTTGAGCACAGTCGGGTCACAGAGAACCCTTCCTTTTTTCTTTTTAGTAGAAACTCCTTAGGTAGCACATTGAAGGTGGCTGTCCAACTAACGACTGGGCTTCTCAGTTAGCTGGGAGCCTCATTGTTTTTCAAGTATCCTAAGTGTATTAGTTTTAAATTGTATTGAGTTTCCATCACCTGCAGTCATGATTATTACTTTGACTTTTAAAGACGGGCTCTTGCCATGTATCTTAGACTGGCATCAATCCATGAGCCCCTTCCTCGCTCTCCACAGTGCTAGGGCTGTAGGCACTGCCACCCCACCTGGCTCATTATTACTGTTGTTATTGGATACTCAGTGTCCTCTGCCAGTGACAGCCCCTTCAGAGGGCTCCTGTCTTTTTTAAATGGCCAGTAATCTCTTATGCTTTTTGTTTGTTTGTTCGTTCGTTCTTCTGGCATAGCAGTGTGTCCCACGCATTTTCTGCCACAGACATGTCATTTGTGTGATGAACCATTTTCTTGGTGGAGAACATGGTGTTTAGAGACCTCCTTCAACACAGCTTTTCTTGTTTGGGCCTGCAGCTGGTGACGGGTTTTTAGAGCAGGATTGGGGCCTCAGAGATGGCCGCTGTCACTTGCTGATGGCGCGGTACTAAGTAAGCTAATTACTTAAACTTTGCCTTTGTTGTCTCAATTATAAAGTGAGGGTAGAGACTCATAGGATTTCTAAAATAATGATAAATGAAGCTGGGTAGTGCTGGCACACGCATTTTATCCCAGCACTCCAGCGGCAGGGGCAGGTGGATCTCTATGAGTTCAAGGTCAGCCTGGTCCATAGAGCTAGTTCTATAACAGCCAAGGCTACACAAAGAAACCCTGTCTCGAGACCCCCCCCCCAAAAAAAAGAAAAAAAATGAATTGGTAGCTACGAAGGTACTGAGAACATTCATTAAGTAAGCCTGCACGTGGTTAGCAGTGGTTCCTTTTTTTTTCTCAGACCCCTCAGGGTGCACCTAGCATCTCCTCGGGGAAATTGTTGGGGGAACACTGGCATAGAATTTATTCACATGGAACTCCCCTGAGTTCTACACTTGTTTTAGAAAACCATCATACATCTACATCAGCCTACTTTTATAAAACTTTTCCAGGAATAGACACTCAGAGATCTACTCATGCAAGAGGGACGCCATTCTGGACGTTGTCTTTGCATGTGGAACAGTCAGGGAAGGCAACAAGCTGGGGGCTTCCTGCAGCCCCTTCAGCCATTTACCAAAGTCCATCTTTGAGGAGTGGGTTCTCAGGATTCTAGCCTGTCTTTCAGTCCTTCCTACATCCCCTGTCTTCTGTGGCTCCTCTTGGAATACTTAGCCTGCCAGTTCTTGCCTCCAGTTCTGTCACTAAAAGAAGTTGCCTGGGGGCTGGAGAGATGGCTCAGAGGTTAAGAACACTGACTGCTCTTCCAGAGGTCCTGAGTTCAATTCCTAGCAACCACATGGTGGCTCACAACCATCTGTAATGGGGTCTGGTGCCCTCTTCTGGCCAGCAAGCGTACAGATTGAGAGAACACTGTATACATAATAAATAAATAAATATTAAAAAAAAAAGAAGTTGCCTGTTCTCTTCATAGCGAACAGAACGTAGGAGTGCAATGGACCCTGGTTGATGTTCAGCACAGAGGTTTTCAAGCCCTGGGAGCTGGGTCTTTTTCTCAAGGTGCATGATGGTGAGAGTCTCAGGTCTCAGAGGTCAGCAAATGTCTGTATTTCACTTTGTCTTCTGTTTTTACTTTCATACATTGAAAATAACAAAAGTCAGAAGCAACTGTTTTCGAAGTGGAAACATGCTCATTATAAAATTAGCATTTCTTACAAAATACAGGAAAATATCTGAAAAGATAAAAACAAGACAAATGCCAACATTTCTTACCTTTCATGTAGGTATGTATAGTCAAGGGTAGCAGTCAGTCTCAACAGAGTGCTGTAAATATTTTTCAAAAAGCAGCATTTCAAGCCTTTACTCTCAGTATTTAATATTAAAGTTCCTACTGTAAGACCTAAGCTTCAAATAAGTTTTTTATTTTTTTAACCAAATTGTTTGTCTTTTAGGTATTAGGAAAAGAAGAGTCCCAGAGTGAGAAACATTTGAAAAAAAGCCTTTCCCTAGCTTCGGAGAAGAGGTTAAGTAGAGTGCCCTCCAAATCTCTGGACTTGAATAAAAATGAGTACTTCTCTCTGGACAAAAGCAGCACTTCAGATTCTGTTGATGAAGGTAAAGAATTCAGATCTCAACAAAATTCCAGACATGTCTTCTAATGTTTACCCTTGTGTTAGGTGTGTGCAGAGTGGGAATTTGATTGTGGCAGCCTCGCACTAAAGAGACCCAGGAAAGGAATGAGTGTGTAGAGAACACAGGAGAACCACTTGTCAAGTCTGGCCCATCTTCATTTATCTCAAAGCCTGGAATTTGAAAGTCTCCACTAGATTGACTTATAATTCCAAGCTTTCTGGAATAGCGAGTCAGGGCACAGTGAGATATCTCAGTGCAAGAAATGTTGCGTTCAACCCCCAGTGTCCATGAGACAGACCCAGCTTTGGTGACCTCGGTGGTGAGGGTCTGTACTCCCAATAACAAAGAGGTGGAGACAGGCAGGTCCTTGGTCTCACCAGCCAGACAACCTAGCCTAATCAGCAAGCTCCAGGACCCGATGAGAGATGAGACCTTGTTTCAAAAAATAAAAGGTGGATGTCTGTTGAGGAACCACACAGAAAGGTGTCCTCTGGACCTCACAGACTCATGCACACATGTGCGCACACACACAAACATACAGGGACATACACACAAACTAAACTTTTATTCAGTAAAAACAGTGAAAAGCAAATCTGTTAACAGAAAGTTTCTATGCTGCTCCTGCAGACTGACCGGGGTAAGACGTTCCCATTGTCAGTGTGTTTAATCTACCTCTGCTTACCCACAGAGAAAGGAGAAGTGGAGAGTTTTGGTTTAAACACATATCGCTAGTTAACTGCACAGAGGTTGGATTGAGGACAAGACCTCAAGTCCTGTGTTCTTTTCACTTAACTAAAGTACTTCCGAAATTATTACTATTATAATTGTTATTGGAGATAGGTTCTCACTGTGTAGTCTTGAGTGGACAGCCTGTAACTTACTTCTAGTGCTGCTGTAGCCAGAGATCCTCCTGCCTCTGCTACTGCTGGGCTTACAGTCATTAGCACTGTTTCCAGGATTTCCCAAATTCTTCTTTCTCTTTCTTCTTTGTAAAAAAGGATACCTGCTGGATGTGGTGGTGTGCACCTGAATCCCAGAACAGTGGAGGCAGGAGAGTCCCTGTGTGTTTGAAGCTAGACTGGTCTACGTAATGAGTTCCAGGAACATAGTGACACCCTGCTTCAAACAAGCATACATCTTAACAAAGGTTCTGCAAGCCTGACTTTATGCTTCTACACACACACACACACACACACACACACACTTAAAAGCAAGTAGTCATGGTGGCAAGTACATATTCTGAGATGAATATTAACTTAAATTACTGTGTGGCTTCCAATAGGAAATAAAATATCTAGAAGCAATTCTTTTTATTTAAAAAGATTACTTAGAAGATTATTATTTCAATCTATATCGGTGAAGTTGCGTGCTTTTGATAATTATTAAATTTTAGATTATTTTTTAAAAATATTTTAAAATAACTTTGAAGGCAGACACATGATCGCATTCTCATAATTACTTCTGAACTGTCTCTATAGAATAATCCATTGAATTCTGAATTTTGTTTTGTTTTATTTTTGAGACAGGGTTCTCTGTGTAGCCCTGGCTGTCCTGGAACTAGTTCTGTAGGCCATCACAGAGATCCACTTACCTCTGCCTCCCAAGTGCTGGGATTAAAGGCTTGGGCCAACACCACCTGGTTCAAATTACTTTTAAAGAACATTCTGTAGTAGAATTTTTTTTTTTACAAAGTAAACTGCTAATAATATACTACATGTTTTTTAAAAATAACCTAGTGGAGTCAGTGATGTGGCTCTGCGGACAAAGGTACTTGTCACTAAACCAAATAACTTGAGTTCAGTCCTTGGAACCCACACAATGGAAAGAGAAAACAGACTCCTGCAGACTGTCCTTGGGCCCTACAAGTGTGCAATGGCCCATGTGCCCTCCCACAATAAATAAATAAAATGTGAAAAATAAGTTATTTGGTTTTAGAAGACCAGTAGATTAAGCTAGACTCTCATGATGTTGAATTACCAGAATCTTTGCAGAAAGAAAGGCCTTCTGGGTAGCAAATGTATTGTACTCTGGCTGTATTTTTATTGTATTCTTTATATTGTTGCACGGGCTCAAGAAATAACATCCTCCCTGATATCCCCACAGTAATAAAATTGGGGAAAGAAACAAAGAACAAGTCACAGAGACCATTAACACTGATGGTGGCCAAGTTAGAGGATAATCCACTTACGTGTGCCAGAGGTAAAAAGGCTGCTGAAGGAGCTGGAAATGAGGATGACTTACTCATCAGTCAGGTCAGCCGCTTTCCCCAGAGGAAGAGGGGAGATCAGCCATGGAGCAGCAGAAGCTGCAGAGGGTACCTAGGCGACATAAGACAGGACAGACATGTGCTGGGCCTGCCTGGTATGCCCCTTCCACGCTTACAGATTATATTAGGCAGCATAGGCTGCCATGATAGATACTTCAGTTCCTGTGGCTCAGAGAACAATGCAATTCCTTACAGTTCTTAGGACAAAAGTCATAGGTCAGACCCAGCAGAATTGCGTTCTGGTGAGGCCACTCTAACTGGCTGTGGATAGCTAGCTACCTTCTTGCTCAGGAGGTGGGACAGGAAGAAGAGGGAAGCAGGGAATAGTTGAGAATATAATAACAACAACAAAAAGATGTTTTATGGCAAACTTACCAGCAAACCATGCTCCCTACTCTCTCTAAGTGCTCGTAACCTGTGGTGTGTCATATTATCCAATAGGTTTTATGAGAAGTCTTTCTTGAAAATATGAAGGTCTTTGTCATCAGTACAGTAGGCATGACAGGAAGGATGAGTAGTGTGGCCTTACTAGGCCTCGTGCCACTGCGCTTTAGGATGTGCGGGCGTGAATTAGTCATGCGCTTCCTGACTGAACTTGGGCCTCCGGGAAGATCTAGTCTGGCACCCGGTGGCCAAATAGGCCAGGGACACCAAAGCAGGGACTCATTTTCTCTTTCATTAGTCTGCTCTTAAGACTTATCCTTAAAACATCGCTTCATCTTTGAGTTCCTAGAAAATCAACATTAAAACTCGAAAGCTGTCCACACATCTGCGCATGGGCCCTGGCCACTCTGCGCTCTGTTTTCGTTGCCTCTTCAGAAACTGCCTGATTCGGCAGCGAGCATTTCCATGGTGTTTCCCCTAAAGTGTCCTTAAGGTGTAGCGGTGAGTTTTTCCTACTAGATTATCATTAGGTAATAATTTGGGCGATCCCACTGTTTTCCCTACATGGGTTTCAGATCTCAGGCCCATCAGATCTTTCAGGTGAGCCTGATGATGGCTCTATGTTTGTCTCTTTTCTCGAGGTTGTGACGCAATGGGACATTAGCGGGAGATGGACTAGGAAGAAGTGGGGGAAGGTCAAATGAAGGAGACCAACCCAGGGGGTAGGGGCGGGGCGTTGATAGAGGCTGGGGGGGAGGGGCGAGGGGGTAGGGGCGTTGATAGAGGCTGGGGGGGGACACTCTCTTTAAACAAAAGGTCGGGTAGGTTTGTTGTTGCCGTTTGTTGACACAGGGCCTTTTTGTGTAGCCCTGACTGCCCTGAAACTGGTCATAGAGCTCAGGCTGGTCTTGGGCTTCCAGGACCTTCCTGTCCTGTCCTGAGTGCTGGGATTATGCATGCACCACCACGCTGGCTAAAACGGAGCACTTTGATCTGTTTTTGAACAGATAGAAAAATCCCGCCCTGCCTTTCATATCACATTTATGCTGTGATTTAGGGGAAAGAACACGGGATTATTTTGACAGAGATTCTCTCTAGAATCATCCGTTCCTGATAAACCAATTAAAATGAAGCATCACACTGCTGTCTCATGGAGAGAATCAGTGTGCCCTCCCCAGCTCAAACCTTACCTATGTAGGACATGGCTATACATCCTCCAAACAGCTGGCAGTGTGTGTTGTGAGTTTTGGGTTACTGTATTTCCCCTGTATCCACCTGCCCATTTCAAATCATTTTTTTTTCTTTTTTCTTTTGTTGAGGTCTTTGATCCATTTGGACTTGAGTTTTGTGCATGGTGATAGATATGGGTCTATTTTCATTCTTCTTCATGTTGAAATCCAGTTATGCCAGCCCTACTTGTTAAATATGCTTTCTTTTTTTCATTTGATACTTTTTGCTTCTTTGTCAAAAATCAGGTGTTCGAAGATGTGTGGATTGATATCCGGGTCTTCTATTCAGTTTCATTGGTCCTCCTGTCTGTTCTTATGCCAGTACCAGGCTGTTTTCAGTACTGTAGCTCTATAGTAGAGTTTGAAGTCAGGGATTGTGATGCCTCCAGAAGTTCTTTTATTGTACAGGATTGTTTTGGCTATCCTGGGTTTTTTGCTTTTCCATATGAAGCTGAGTATTGTTCTTTCGAGGTCTATGAAGAACTTTGCTGGGTTTTTTGATGGGCATTCATTGAATCTGTATTCCAAATAATTTCTACTGGCTACCTTCAAACTGATACTTTAAAAAATGGTTTAAATGATGTATATGTGTGTTTAAATTTATGTGTCTGTGCATGTAACTGCTGGTGTCCACAGAGGTAAGGGTTCCTTGGATCTCTTGGAGCTGGTTGTGAGTTGCCCAATGTAGGTACTGGGATACAAACTTGCATCCTCTGAAAGAGCAACCTCCTCTCCAGTCCCTTAGCTGATATTTTTGAAGCAGTATTTTTTTTTTGACAAAAGTGCCCTGCTCCTGAGTTGAGCAGTGCCCTTTCTTCATTTAAAGAACACCACCTGTCAACTTACTGTGCTACACCAGTGTTCTTGGTATCGTTCTTTGGAGAAAATTGAAATGTCAAGAATCTCATAAATGAGCCGGAAAGTGATGGCCCACACCTTTAATCTCAGGACTCGGGAGGCAGAGGCAGGTGGATCTCTGAGTTCGAAGTCAGCCTGGTCTACAAGAGCTAGTTCCAGGACAGGTTCCAAAGCTACAGAGAAACCCTGTTGCAAAAAAAAAAAAAAAAAAAAAAAAAAAAATCTCATAAATGAGTTAACCCAAAGCAGAAACAATTCATTTTATGTACTTATTTCCTTGAGAAAATTTCCATGCAGAATATATTATTTCTGATAATGCTATAGTAAATTGTACTTTTATCAGTCATAATTCAGAACCTAAAACCTAATGTTGCTTAGGAGAAACATGAAAATACTGTATAGAAGAGTGTACATAAGTGTAATCTTTCTGTTTTCAATCTGAATAAGAAACTCACTTTTCAAAGTTATAAAACCGTGCCTCTTAAGAGAAATGACTGTTTCTAGGTGTAAAGAAAATAATAGCTGTGCATTTAACTTTAAAAACCATGTACAGCAAAAGAAAAGTCAGTAGTGATAAGACATCGTACAGAATAGGAGGAAGTCTTTTCCATATCCAACAGCAATTAATATCCAGAAAATATTTAAAAACTAAATAGCCAGAGAGCAAGAGATTCAGTTAATAAATGAACAAATGAACCGAAAACAACTTTTCAAATAAAAACGTACAAATGGCCAATAAATACACATGAAAATCTTCAACGCCTCTTGGGGAAGATTGCATTGATGGGTTGGAGAGGGAGCTCATTTGCCAGAGGGCTTGCCTAGTACATCCCCCCCCCCAAGCCCTGGATTTGGTCCCAGCATTGCAGTGACACAGGCCTGCAATCCCACTAATAGGGAGTCAGAGGCCGAAAGATCAGAAAGAAGTTCAAGGTCATCCTCAACCACAGTAAGTTTGAGGCCAGCTTGTGCTATATGAAACTCTGCCTCAAACAA